TCTTGCTTCTTGTTATAACTTCTGGTGTCCTTTCTGAGTTATGAAGACCCCTATTTATAGTTGTGGAAGGGAAGAGTTGTGATAAGAACAAACTCTTTCCGACCAATCAAATTGAAGTGTGACATGGCTGCATTTGATTGGCCAGAACATGTCACTTGCACACGTGGCACGATTTCATTGGCCTTTTAGCGCGACTGGACATGCCTTGTCATTTTGACATGTGGTATGGTCCTATTGGCTCTTCCGCTTGACTTGGCGCGCCACGTCATTTGACACGTGGCACCAAACTGGACCTCTAGGAAGATGACATCTTGGGCTTAATGAAGTGGGTTCATCACTTTAGCCCAATTAAATGGGCTAGCCCAATGGATTAAGACTTATTTATTTAATCCATATATATTGGACTTATATAATTAATTCAATTATATTAACCCATAATATTTATTTGGACTAATATATTTAAAATATAATCCAAATTATTTATTGAATTTGAATTCAATAAATTTTATATGCCTACAGATGTATAAATTATTATATTATTATTATGAGTATGTTTACCTAAACATTATAAAATCTAAAAGCATAAACAAAGCCAAAAAATTATCGATTGGAGACAACGCGAATTTTTGCTTTGGAAGTATTAGTTATTACTGGTTTCTAAGAATGATTTTGAAAATACCTAAATAGTTATTTTTGATATGTTAATTTTAAAAAATAAACTATCTGAAAGTATAAAATAATTATGAAGTTCTGGAAATAAACCTAACTAAAAGTAAAATATTTAAGATACCTACAATCTAAAAATTTGTGAAGCAATTTATATGAAGTTAGTGTTGGTCGACTTCTTCACTTTTGTAGCTTTAAAAACTAAACTGTTCCTTCAACAAATAATTCCATGTTAAAAAATTATACTAACATTTAAACTTTTATGTAGTATTTAAAATTTTGAATCCAACTAATTAAATTTTATTCTAATTTATAGAATATGATTTAAGAATCAATGTCTGCACTAAAAACTTTTCAGATATACAAATCTAATCTATCTATCTATATTTGACACTATATATCATAAAAATATAAAATATTAACATAAAATATGTATCAACTTTACCCTTCTTAATCATTATAAGTGCCGTTGTTGTTGAATAAAAATCTTAATTATAATTAATAATTTAGTTTTAGTGGAACTGATATTTAAGATTTTAAGGATTTTTACGAGGGGTAGTTTTTTTCTTTATTACGTTAATTAAATATGGACATTAATCATTATTTTTATAATTTTACACTTTCTTCCTTTAAATTTAATAAATATCTCAAATATAATTCGTAAAATAATATTTATGTGACTTTTTTTTTAAAAAAATGTCATACTTATTTAGATGAGAAATTTTCATAAAGCACTATCTTTTAGTAGTAATTAGTCATCTATAGATATCATTTGCTATATTACGGATTATATATACCTCTTTTGTGGTTACAAGATGTATTTGATGTATTTAAGATATTGTATTCATGAATACAGTAGCAAAAATAGGCGTGAATCAGGAAAGTCCAGGTAATCAGTTGTTGTATTCGAGTGTATTCGACTGTATTCATGGAGTGAAACGTGAGATTACAGCTGGTATTCAACTGTATCCGACTGTATTCACGGCTGAAATAAGGGATTATACTGTTTTTAAAACGGAAAGTGAATCAATTAACATAATAGACTCCTAATATAACTCAATAAACTCAATTATAACACACAAATTTTGTATTTTCAGTTATAAAAAAGATTCTCAACCGAAAAATACATCAAAAACATAGCAACCTTCAGAAAAATTATATAATACATCTGAATACATAAATTATATTAATTAAAAAAATATATGAATACATTCATGGCATATAGCGAGACAGTGAATACAATGAAATACATAGAATACAACGGGATACATTGAAATACAATGGAAAAAAAGACAGTGAATACAATGAAATACATGGAATACAACGAAATATATTAAATTATAATGAAAAAAAGACAATGAATACAATGAAATACATGAAAATACATTGAAATATATTAACAGAAAATCAAGTTGCTCAGCCCCAAACTCCGTCGTCTTTGTTCAAGAACAAACCCTAATTTCTGGCAAATCCGTCGCTCACCGGAAGCTGGTAGTGAAAACGTGCCGCCTTGGTCCGGCGATGGTGCCTTCAATGGCAAAAAACAACGTCAAAGCCTTCAATGCCATATCTCAGAAGATGTAGAAATCACAGAAACTTATATCCTTAAATGATGAATTGATTGATAAAGACGGATTAAGGATATCACATAAACATATATCCTTCAAAGCCTTCAAGCCTTCAATGATGAATTGAGGAAGGAAGAGGAACAGTGAATTCAATGGGTGGTTTTGCCCCTCTCTATCATTCTCCGCCGTCGATGATCACTAAAATGAAAATTTTTCGAGATAATGGAGATGAATCAGTGGAGAATTGTGGTTGTATTCATGCAGAAAGACTGGCGTTGAGAGAGAGAGAGGGTGGAGAAAAATCTGAAAGAATGAGAGAGGAAAATAATACAAAGCGTATTTTATGGCTTAAGGGTAGGAGATGACCATAAATAGATATTTGGCTATAAAAATCAAAAGGTATCTATGAAATATAATTTTTTTAAAAGGTATTTATTTAAAATAAATAAGGTATCAATATTTGCTATAGGAGGTAAAAATTCCTACATGGCAATTTGTATGCAGAGTTTTTTGTAATCGGTGTCACAGTTTTTTATAGGTAAAAAAAATGAATAAATTACTATAATGACATCATAATACAAAAAACATAATTCAAAATATTACTACAACCCTCTACGATGAGTTTTTATTTTTTAAATGTTTCCATAATAGGATTATAAATATGTCTTTTTCCAGAATGGCTTGATAGTATCTACTGTCAATTCAACGAAGAAAAGGATGCCAGCTCAAATGGATTTTTGTCGCTTCTTAATTTTGTTATAGGTCGGTGGCAATGTTTTAAAAGGCGAGGGCATGAGGCGAAGTGTTTTACCTCTCACGAAGCGAGGCGTAAGCCCTGAGATATGGGTCGTAAGTCCTACGGATCTTTAAATTTTACTGATTTCAAGAATTTTAAGATAGTTTAAAATAAAATATAATTATAAAAATTACATTAAAATCACAAAATTATAACAAATAATCTATTTAAAATATTTATAAATTATAATTTAACTACGAATAATACGAAAAGTATGACATATATCATAATATGCAAATTAGATGCAACGTCATTACAACTCAAACATAAAAAATAATGTATTGGATACGAAATCTTATATGTATCTCTTAAGGAGTAATGAATCTTGAAAGAATTTCGATATTATAATTTGATATTTTTCCTAAAATACTCCTTGTATTTAATATGCTTTCTATTTGAAATAAAATTTATATAAAAATATAATTCATAATTTAAATATGATTCTCTAGCATCATTTATGTTTAAGTTTCAACAAATTAATAAAGTGACACATAATTTATCATACAATAGCATGATAACTAATTATTTATAAATAGTTTCTAGCTAATACTGAGCTATTAAATTAATAAATATTGTATCTCGTAAGCGTGGAAAAAAATTTAAAAAAATAATTATAAAAAATTATGGACTATTATATAGTAAAGACATAACAAAAGTTAATAAATAAATATCTTTTAAATGAAAGATTTATTTAAAATTAACTATCATAGCAGTCTTAGTGGATAACGTGCAATAATTTTTATTTAATTATGACATAAAATACTCTCAACTTAATGATTTATGATTAAGAAAAAAATAATTTTGAATAGTCAACGATTTATTAAGCAAATTGAGAATTTACAAGGTTAGTTATATAGAATTGCATAAAGTTCTACTAGGCGAGCCCAGTACGCTGGGAGTTGGGCATATCCGGGGCATAAGTCTCACGGAACTAAGCCCCACACAGAGGTCGGTGGTGATTCAAGCCTCACTAATACATCATTAGAGTTTATGTAAAGTTTCAAAAATTATTAAAAAAAATTAAACCTGCCATTCGGATTCGAACTCCTGATCTTGAATAGAGAATTGTAGCGCTTAACCATCACAAATCTATTTTCGTTTAAGCGGTGTCACATAATTTTATTCAAATAATTCTCTTTGCTTATATTTGTATACACATAAACTAAAACTTTCTGACAAAGTGATGTCACGTGACCACTTCTGACAAGGTGGTTCCGTCTCTGGGTACACGACAAAGCGCGTACTCTAAGACTATCTTGCAAGGATTAGTTCATTGTCACATACATATCTAATTTCAACTACACTGTCATGAAAAAATGTTAGGTTACCTATAACTAAAATGAGTAACATGTCCAAATTTAGAGCAAACAAAACTACTCTATTATCCTGAATGTGGACGGAATCACATTCTTTACCCACTAAATGTATACAATACTATCCTGTAATTGGTTGAGTAACGAACATATGTATTTTTAGATTTCTATTGCGCTTTGTAAGAATGTCTAAAAGGTAAAACAATGATTTCCAACTTGTTGCTGGATTAATTTAGATCAAAATTCTATGTATCCGAGGTGTTTAATTATATCTTTCTTGGCCTCAACGATTCATAACACACACACCAAAAAAAAGAAAGAGAGATAGGAATATAGCATTTCGTAGGTTGCCCTGAGTTATTATCTTATTCGAATTTTAGTGGCAACTGAACAAATTTGACCTTGAATTTAATAACTATTGTGTATGGGATACATTTTGCTCAAGGATATAACAAAATATAAGTCCACAAAAGACAGTAAAATAAATTATTACAGAAAACATTCTGGTTCGTTTACACAAACATATGTATATTACAAATCCATTATGTTAACGTATTCGTTAAAAAATGAAAATGGCTCAAGAGTTCCACTATCAAATAAAACCAAATTAGCCATAAAGCTTCGTACTCAGTTGATTCCTTCATACTCGTTTTCTGCTCTAGTAAGAACAACTACAACACAGGGTGAGTACGTTTCTGAAAATGGTGGAAAAAGAAAACAAAGAAATTATTTGGAAAAAAAATGCTTTTTAATGTGGACAGAATTGTTAAGAAGCGCAAAATAATATTTGATTGAACAAATATTGTAAAATACAAAGACAAAGAAAAAGGTTCGTCTCTTATTTTAAACTACTAAGTACATTGATATATTCATTGACTACAGGTTTAATAAAGGTTTCCTTAATGCAGAAAGTTAGCCCATATTCCATTAGAAAAACAGAAGCAAATGAAAAGCTCTATCTTCTGGACTTTCTACTTCTGCTTACCAACCTTGAAATTGTTTCAATCACTTGCACTAATAAAAGGAAATTTTAAATATGGTTTAACTTGAAAAGAACAAGGATGTCAAGGAGGGATTTTTGCTCAAAATGCAATACTACAGTATTATTGTTGTCGCTGCTGAATTAGCAGGAAATAATATCATTTGCTTGTTCATAGGATGCACATATAAACTCTCGTGTCATAACGAGGGGAACACGCTTAAACAGATGGTGCAAAAACTTGCCTGTTGCGGCTGCTGAAAAGAATAAGGTAGACGGGATCTTGAGATGAGAGACTGAAAAGCTGTAGAGCAATATAGGCGCATGTGCTGATGCTGAGGAAATCAACATAAAGTCTGAATTAGATATAGTCCAAAACGAGCTGGTGCAATTGCTATAACATCTGGAGTCAGGTCTAATACATGCTCACGTCCTGAACACACGTATCCATTGAACATACTTTTCTCCCACAATGGAAAATAATGAAGCCACCCTTACATTCATATGATGAAGTTGAAAGAGACATTTCAAGAGGACGTGAGAAAAATCTAATAATTTCAAATCTTATCTGTAAGATATTATATGCAGGTCGGAGTGCAATTAGGAGACTAGTATTAAATCTCTCAGAAAACACGAACTAGATTGGACTATTGTTACTCTTGATGGAAATATATATTCATGCTTCAGAAAAACTCAAGAAACTTAAAGCTTGATGCGACAAAGCGTGGGCATAAATTGCATATTAGTCAATGCAGTTGTTGCAAGAGGCAAAGGCTGGAATTTTAATTTAGTTCTTGTCAGACAAGCAAGATATTGTAAGTTATTTCGACAATATCATTGAACCCCTTCTATTCAGAATCATATGAAGGTATGCAAACATATATTCGTGAACTCCTCGTTCCACCATATACGAATGAGACTTCATAGTTTGCTCTCACCCATATAGAGTAATGAATAAGATGTCATACCAATGGAGCTAACTGCAAATGCATTAATATTAGCATAAATCCAACAGAAAAAGCATACCCGCCAAAACAAATTAATAGTATTATCCAGAAAGCTGCACTTAGCCAACTTGATTCCTTATATGCGACCCAGACCTGGTAAAACAGTGTAACACATATAAGATCAACAATCTTCAAATACCAGTGAGACTAAGAGCAAAGATAGCTATTGAAAAACTTACTGAGAGAGCCACAATATTGACATAGAAATCAACTAGTGTTGCTGACAGCCACCTACGCGGATATTGAATTCTTAGATTGCATGTCAAAGAAAGATTTATATCAAGCAAGTTAATATTCGACCAATGTATGGGATGCACACATAGGCGGAGTTGGGATTTGAAGCTAGTGGGTTCGGGATTCTATTCCTTCTAAGTTACTGGGTTCTAAATTAATAATTTATATAAATTCAACGAATTTTTAAAGACAAATACAGAGTTTGGCCAAAGTTATTGAGTTTGGCCGAACCCGCATCTGAAGCTCTAGCTCCACCCTTGGATGCACGTGTATCACTTCATCACAAACTCACGAAGTTTGCTTTCAAGAGGAAACTTTCAAACAAATTTGCAAATGATGGATTGCAGCTCTTTGGACAAAGAAGAAAACAGCTTTCTAGACTGACAGTTTTCCCAAATCCAGGCCCTAAGAATGGCCTGTACATAGCAAATCCATGTAATGGAAGAAAAAGCTCGTTTCAAAAGTATTTCATAAGTTCAATTTTAGAAAGCAAAGAAGAGGATGACAAATACAACATTTTGATTAAAATTTAGCATCAGAACAGCACGTCTCTTCCGACCATATAATGTGAAATTCCCTAGATACTTATCTGACATATGTCACACTGAAGGTAGTATCATGTTTTCCAGGGAAACTGAGAAAGCTCAACATAGATCAATCCAGTCAATTTTTTTATATATGTTAAGTTCATATAGTATTATGATAGTATGAGGTAAGATATCATCAACAGTCTTTGTCCATGCAAACTGAGCAACGCAATCAAATTATCAGACAAACAATTTATACATTTTGAGAGCGCAAGTCATTCTCAGTAACCTTATCCCAACCGCGGAATCGCAGTAATAAAGCTATTCTATCATATAAGTAAAGAACTTACGGAGTGAAAACATCTCTGCGAAATGGAGAACCATCGGTTACAATGGTGTAAATCAGTGTCCCTAGCATCAGACAGCCCAAAACAAGATATAGAATTCTTGCAGTTAAAAGAGAACACTTCCTCCTTTGTTCTGTCTCAGTCCTAAATCATAAAATTTCAACAGGTCATTATAAGTTAAGCTCATTTTCAGAAAGAAAACTAACACAAATAGATGTGTATCATGATATAACATTGATGGAGCTTCAAACTCCAAGTAACACTTATTTGTATCAGTTAAAGTTTTACTACAGTTCTTTTCTGCAAAGAGTAGGTTATTACACAGCCTACAACCACATGACCTGATAATATAATTTACTGCAGGGTCTTGTACAAATAGAAAGAAACATACAATATCAGAAACTTACTTTTTCTGGCGTCGTAATAGGACAAAGTAAATTGGATCCTGTATAGATTCTTGAGTTGAAAGATTCAGGAACTGCAAGACAATGTAGCCGCATGTAGTAATGCTGCGAAGGGGTTGGAGAAAAGGTTATCACCATCCCTGAATATATAGTCACAAACTGATAAACGTTTATGGATAATATTGTCTGAACACCGTTAAGGGCAACAACACCATGGCATTCTGATGCCATAAAAGGATAATACAAACTGAAAAGGAAGATATTCTTTGCCAATAGAATCTAAGAGAATTTTATCTTATGGAATGCTGGATACCAAAGGATATTAAGATAAATGTGCAATCTCACACATAGAGGATATAACAAGAGAAAGGCGCCTGTAATAGTTTGCCAATACCTTATGCAACCTCCAAATACACCAGTCCCTTGGAGCAACATGATGGTGATTGAAGGTGCTAAAAGGGAATGAAATATGCCAATATCACATGGAGGAGAACATAATGGCAGCAAAGATCCATGTAACAATACCAATTAGTGCGGGCCGAGGATCAATTTTTGCAGTTACACAGACATTAGGGTCATAAGGGAGATTATTAGAGAATTTCTAAAACTTTGCCTTACGAGACAAATTTCATGCTAGTACTAGAATGAAATGGGCCAGAATATATCAGAATATGTAGAGGATTCATGTTGCATGGGATCGAGGTATAGTTGACCGATTAATTGGTCACACTGTTCATATATGTGAAAATTGCAACCGAGAATTCAGTCTCATAAAAGATACTTAGAGAAAGCTTGAAGTACAGTCATCATCTAAACTAAAAAGTACATTGCTGGTAAAGTTGTTTTGTATACAATAATAAGTTAGGCATACCTTCCTAAACAGAACAGCAAGACCGCCCAAAGTAGTGAAGTAATCCAGTTGGATTCCTTGTAGGCAACCCAGGACTAATATGATAACACAATGCCAAAACATGAGAGCAAATCTTTTGGAGATAAGAGCAGAGAAACATAGCAATATGTGATGCATTCAGACCAATATCTTGGAATCACAAAAGTGTTGTCAAAGCAATTGAAAACTAAAGGACCTCAAATATGCAACCCAACAAAAATAAAGAGATATAAGAGGCAACTACAGGTTAGATATTTTCCTAATCAATTAAACTGCAGGATGACATTCTACAGTAGTCTTTGCACAGTAGCTAGTTCTCCTAATGAAGTGCAAAAGAAAAATGCAGCCTAAGGCTATGTCTTAAAAATTTAGACTGTAAGATGCTAGTTTTACAGTAGTATTGGACAATGCCTGAGGCTCTTAATGAAGTATAAAAGAAATGCTCAGTTTTCAGCTAAAGGCTATTGGTAAAAACGCGAAAGCCTTCATGATCAATTCTCAGCCTAAGGCTATGGATAAAAACGCGAAAGCCTTCACTCTATTGGTGTTAAACTTCTTCCATTTCCCACAGTAACATTTAGTTACTGGCAAATCATATTATACTGGCACTAGCTTTGAAAGCTAGTTGAGTTTTAACTATTCGTATATAGGCAAATTCAAACATGCTCTCTTTAATGTCCAATGCTAGTGACACTGTACCAAATAAAAAGCAATTGAACTTGAGAGTAAACACTGAGAAGCACTAAAAAATAATCATGTCATACCCCTATGGCAAAAATGTTGATGTAGAAATCTATCAAGGTTGCTGCCATCCACCTGCAACATCCATTCCACCAATTTCCAATTGTTCAGAAAACAGATGGAACTAAACTGTTTTTTGAAAGCCAAATTCTCAATACCTAGTTGTCTCTATGTGACCTATACGGTTTGAGCCGTGGAAGCATTCACTAATGAAGCATTAGGGTAAGCTACATCATACCCCTTGGTGTACGGCTCTTCCCCGACCCTGCGTGTATATGTGATGCTTTGTGCACCGAGCTGCCATTTTTTTTTAAATGCGTAGCTAGTTCTTTTCTCCTGACCATTCTCACGAAATTGCTACTATAACATAAGTCAATTAAGACGTAATTAAATAAATATAAACTGCCTAATTTCTAACAGCTTGAAGGTGCTCACATAAATTAATATAGTAATAGAGAAGATAGAACTCCTGAATTCAAAATATTATTTATCAAAAAGAAATTTTCACATAAATAAAAGTATTTTCTTTCAAAACAGTTTAAGCTTTTAGATAATTCAACAAAGTCTACAAACTTTTTTATACCAATCAAGAAAAAATAAAAATAGAATAATTAGTGAGAAAAGAAAAAATACGGGGTGAGGAGTTGTAAGCGGAAAGGGAGGCCATCAGTGACGACAGTGTAGATTACGACGGCTGAGGCCAAACATCCCAACACGGCGAAGAGACTTTTTAATGCAATTGCCAATGATACTCCCATCTTCCTCTACTGTCTCTTCGTCTACCACTTTTGCAAATGAGGAAGAATGGATAAAGGAAACAAAATGTGAGAAGCTCATTGCTCCACGTCCACTGAGTTTGTGTCATAATAATGGAAACAAGTTGCTTCTTGTTGATCATACTTGGAAGTCTTTCATTTCATTACTTTATTCCCTTTCAATTAAATAAAAGGTGGAGTACTATACTATTTTTGCAAATTAAAGTTTCTTTTTTTTTTCCAAGCCAAAAAAAAAAAAAAGGAGGAAATAAACACGTGGAGAAAGCAATTGGTACACTAATATTTAATTCATTCAAGCAGAGATTGGAAGCACATCATTGCCTTTTCTTTTCTTTTCTTTTTTTTTTCCTATTCAATAAAAACAACAAAAAATATATATTTTCCAAGATTAATTATATCCAATTTAATAGTGGATCAACCTATTTTAGTTTTTTGCTACAAAATATATTTCAAGGTCTATCCAAGTGACTTCAAAGTTTTAGGTTGAAAAAATCATCTGGAAAATACTCATGCCCATCACTATAATCTATATTATCTAGAGCGAGTTATACTGAAACATGATTGTTATTTATTTAGTCATGTGCAACCAGAAGATTGGTATAATATCATTCATTTAAGTCTCCTGTAAACTTACACAATCTGGTGCTACTTCTGCATACCTGAGCTTCAAAAAGAAAAGATAGTAATTTTTCATCCGCTCCATGAATGAAGCAAACAGCAATTTTTTTGCATAACTAATAATTTCGTCTAACTGAAAGTTCATGGAATGAAGCACAGTAACAGTTACCAATCCAACTCATTGTTATACGTAGATGTAGAAAAATACAGTTTTCAGAGTATACAATAAAATCCAACCACCCAGGGTACGGCAAAATGCACAATTAGAATCTTTCTCAGAGCCAACTGCAATACAAGGAGACATTCCTGAGTTCCTATACCTCCAGTATCTGGATGTGACAAAGATGTATTTCTTTCCAAAACAACACTGAGGGAATCAATAGAATATGCAATCTTAAGTGAAGAGTTATGTAGTAATGGGTACAAAAGAATGGTTACGGCCTGAGAGTAACGATACTGTTGCAGGAAAAATAGGCAACAACAGCGATTACATATAGCACTCAATGAAATTGCTTCATCCACCTTAACATGCACAACCACCTCTTTGCTCCGTCTCTGAAACTGCCTCCGGAATGCCCTGGAAGTATCTGGAAAACAGAACACAAGATTTTAGTATATGCAGGTTCCCTAGCAGCCAAAATGCAGTAGTTGAAGGTAGAGGGATGAGGAACATAGAGTACGTTCACTATCTGGCCTACCAAAATGCATTTTCACTTCCATAGTCGCTATATTATTAATAGTCGATAGTCAATCAGGATATTATTACTCAATTATTCTACGCCCTGTACAGAAAACTCAGGGAAAACCATTTAACGTACTGCTGTCATAATTATCAGAGATATACTAATTCCGATTTCCGAAAAATACTTTTTCAGGTTCAAAGATTAAAGTGATATTATCTTATTAGAAATGCACTCTAACAAGATTCATTGGAGTTTATCCTAATAACCAACCATTGCCTGTCTAAACTTTCATTGTTACAGAAGCAGCAGGCACCATGGTAGAACATCCTGTGATGAAATGACGTTCCAACAAATCTATGAGCTCTTGAACTCTTTATGAACCATATGTCAGAGTTACTTGAGTTTTGAGCTACCACAACATATTCCATTTGTTTTATGGAAAGTAGAGCAGCGATCATTGCACCAAAATATATAGACCACTAAAGCTTCCCTGATAACACAGAACATCTGTATCCTGCAGGCACGCCAAAGGCTACAGAATATAAAAGCATGAAGTAGTATTTCTATGAAAAACTGATGCTACTGTCCATCACTTCCTTCTGATCCTAAATTCTGCAGTGAATAGAAAATTTATCTGTTAAGCCTGTGTAATCAACTCTAACATATCATCGACTCTATTTTTCAGTATCAGGCTTTTAGGCAGGTAAATTAGTGAAACCAAACAAAGTCACCATTGTCTAAGTTATCTCCCAAATCAACACAAGTATAGCCACAAAATCTATTGAAGATGTCAATAGTTGACGACTCTACTCTCTGGAGTCATCATCAAAAGTCTGGTCCTTTACAACCCAACCATGCTTAACCTCACCTTATTGATTGAACTTTTTAGCTACATTATCAGGTCAAATGGTAAGCTCTGCCACCTAAGACTTAAAATCTGCATACCCTTGTGAAACGGCTATACTGACAGCGTTAGGTGGATCACTGAAGAATTATCACTATTTAAGCACTCAAACCGTCAAACCGAGTTTTCTGGTATCTTCACTTCTAATTTCAATTTCTCTTGGTATTGGTCACTGTTAGAATATCAAGTGAATATGTATCAACATTGAATATGTATCTACATGCATACATGTCTAAGTTCATAGCTTGAATAAGGAAAATCATATAGAATATGATACATGATACTTAGGATATTCTGTATTTAACTATTAAGTATCCGCTTACCTTATTAGTATAGGGATTGATTATCTACCATAATTGTCCATAGCCTAAGACTCCTACATAAGGAGCACCTCTTGTACATTGTTAATATTTCTCTTTTCACTTGGTATTAGAGCCTTCACAATCTAGAGACTACGGAAGCTATCAGTGTGGCCAAAACTGCTGCTTGCCTGGCCAATGTTCCTTTCTTTTATTGTCTGATGACACTCCTCGCTCCATCAATTGGTGACCCTACATCTAGATGAGTGTTTACGCGTCATTCCTCTCCTTAGGATTGTTCAAGCACCATTCATTTCTCTGGCGAGAGACGTTACTTTTTATGCGATCGATGTCCTAAAGATTTGCAAAACCATATTTGTTTTCGGTGATTGAAAAAAGATCCTTTTTTCTGTGTAGTTCAACGAGCACATTATGCGGTTACCAACAACTTCTCAGAGGAAATAATTCCAACAATGCATTTATATTTTGTGATTGTGCATGAATCTAGAGAGAATTCGGCATCAACATTGTATGTTTTTTATATAACCAAACTCAAGTTGCTTTCCTTATTCTTAGTTTGAGAGGGCATGTTAGAATATCAAGTGAATATGTATTTAAATTCATACACATCTAGATTCATTATACTTAAATAAGGAAAATAATATAGAAAATTCTATTGAATACCTTAGGTTATTTGATATTTAATTATAGAATATTTACTAACCTTATTTGTATAGGAATTGATTACCTATCATATTGTACATAGCTTAAGACTCATATATAAGGAGCATCTCTTGTACATTGTTAAACAAGTCAATGAGATACCATGTGAAAATAGAAAAGAACTTCTCATTGAATTGATTAACGATGTACAAGAGATGCTCTTTATATAGGAATCGTAGACTATGTATAATATAATAGCTAACCAATCCTTATACTACTAAGATAAGTAATATTCAATAATTAAATACAGAATACCCAAGTTATCCTATAGAATATTCTATATAAATTTTTTATCCAAGTACAAAAAATCTAGATGTATATGAATCTAGATACATTCAATTGATATTCAAACATGGCCCCTCAAACTCAAAATGGGAAAACCAACTTGAGTTTGCTTATTTTTAAACATGGAAAGTTGACTTCGCAATCACCAAAAAAAAGAAACAGTGCTGCAATTCTTTCCTCTAGAAAGTTGTTGGCAAATGTTTCGTGGAAGAAAGTGTTTCTTGAACCACAAGGAAAAAAATACATTCTCGATTACCAAAAAAAAGATATGGTGTTGCATATTTCCAAAACAATATCAATGTAACTTGAATAGGCAGAATACTGAAGAAATTCAAAGTTTAGAGGACAGCGTCGGTTGCATAAAAGTTAGCAGCACCAGTCACCGAAAAGATGAGCTGGTGCACAAACAATCCTAAAAGAGAGGAATGACCCATGAATGGCTATATGGAGATAAGGGTGCCAATTGTAGGAGAGAGGGTGGTCATCGGGCACCAAAAGGAAGAACAAAAGAAGATAACACTGCCCAGCGAGCAGCATGCATTGGCTAGTACCAGTGGCCGGTAGCAGAAGGTAAATATTGTAAAAGCTCTGATACCATGTAAAAATAGAAAATTTTCTCATTGACTTGATAAACGATGTATAATACATGCTCCTTATCTAGCTCAAGTGGCAAAGGGTGGTGGATTTGTGTCTTAGGTCACAGGTTCAAGCCCCACACCATGCAGAGCAAAGTCTGGTATTTAAGTGGAGAAGGGTAGAGGGGCGGGCCCATTATCCACCGAGTTTCGAAGGGTGCGGTTGGTCCAAAGGATCGGCCTCAGACGGATTTCTCGGTCATAAAAAAAATACATGCTCCTTATCTAGGAGTCTTATTCTATGTACAATATGGTAGGTAATCAATTTTTATACAAACACGGTAAGTAAATATTGTATGATTAAATACAGAATACCCAAGATATCTTATAGAATATTGTATATGATTTTTTTTGTTCAAATATAATGAATCTAGATGTGTATGAATCTAGACACATATTCACTTGATATTCTAACAAACTTTTTTGCACTTTGGAGTTTGGTTGAACACCCACAGACCACCACTTCACATTGCCTCAAAGTCATCTCCGTGTCTTAAACACATCGATTCATTAAAGACAAATGAATGAAATAGCAGGAGAGTGCATAGTTAATCATCTTTCTAGTTCCAGCAGTAACTTTTCCATATATTTGGTTATCCAGATACCTTAGATGATAAAATTTTGCACATCAGAGCAAATCAATTTCAACATTCAAAAGCTCGACCTTGGAACTGTCGGGTTAGCCTTTCATTCCAAGATCAATCTTGAAAACAAGTTTTAAAAAATTTACACAAACTGCACGATTCAAAAGTGGCCAACTACAAACTGAATGGAGCTAAAAATGTAGCACTTCATTTAGTATAGAATTTCCGAAGCATCAATATTACTTAAATTTTTGGAGATATGTAATCATAAACTTGACATGAAAGTTTGGGGAAGCTCTATGATTCAAGTAGTATCTTTTGCATGTAACAAGAAAAGAGTTTTTTAGATGGCTCTTGGACAGTTAATTTTTTGAAGGTTGCTTCGAGAAGCTTTTCAAAAATGGATTTTAGAATTACAGAAAACAAAAACATGCAAGGTAGTTGTTTTTTCAATGTTGCAATGTTTACCTTGATCTAAAAACAACTCTTAGTCTCTTTTTTTTGGCTAAGTTTTTTTTTTACATGGTTTCCTCTTTTTCTTCTAAAAACCTTTTGAGAAAACAAAAACCAAACAAACATCTTTGCCAAGATCAACGAAAATTTAAGGTTAGTTTCATCTCGCCCGCTAGAAAACATTCTACTTTCAAGGGGTCACATGTTAGAATAAATATGCTTGACATACAATAGACCCTTGTGGTTCGGCCCTTCCCCCGACCCCGCGCATAGCAGGAGCTAAGTGCACCGGGCTGCCCTTTTCTTATCTTTGGGCTCTCAGTACTTAAGCTGGCTCATCTTATCGTTACCGCTAAGTTTATAGGTATGTAAGCATCATATCTCATACAAGCAACAACCAACAAACAATGCTCTTGTTTATATTCAAATTCACATATACTCACATATCTTGCTCGTGTTCATTGGCCAAAGCAGTTTTTGCAATAGACAAGAATGCAGCATCAACATTTATATCCTCTTTTGCTGATGTCTCAAAGTAAGGTATCCCTTTTGAAGCACACCATTCCTTTGCTTTCTTCTCAGAAACCTGTTCAGCATGCAAAAGATAAATCAATTACAAATGTCGCACAGAATATGAAAACGAAAACTCTCATAGAATCCAAAGACCATAACTTGAAAACTTTAGCACTACGTTTGTCTTACCACTCTGCTATTTCCCCCATCTATATCAATCTTGTTCCCCAGTAATATGAAAGGAAATGTTTTAGGGTCTGGTGGATTAGCCTGCATATCAACAAATTCTGTCGGTTAACATGGAACAGAGCTAGTCTTAATTTAACAATCACCAACACAATATTTGCATGACGAGATGATAATACATTCCAATGTTACACCAGAAGAAGTCCAATTAAGATCTGAACATATAGACCATATGTGAAAACTCTTTAGATACACAGCATAATCCCAAAACTTTACTAGTTGGGATCTTACACAGGAAAGAAATTGCAGGAATCATCTACTTCTATAAACTACTCAATGTTAGGCTTAAAACTAATTTCTCTTGTAAAACATGCAGGCCTAGTAAAATATAGGGCACGATGGAAGAAAAAGATATATATAGGCCATATTAATGAGTTGGGATTAAGTTTTAATCATGTTAGTATGATTACTTTAGGTTCATTATTGTCTAGGAGTCAGATTTATGCCTAGTGGAAAATACGGATAACTTCTAGTGCTTTTTATTTTTAATTTACATAATATAGGACGGAGATGAGCTTAAAATGGAGCAACATGAACTATAAGAATTCATATAGCCGACCAAATTCAGAGACATGGCACATTGATTCATCTGCAGGGAGATCACTAAACAAAACGCTGCACTATACTGTTTGGTTTTTATAATTATATGTTTGCATATGCGTGTATTCTCATTACTACATATACAACAACAACAACCCAGTAAAATCCCACAAAGTGGGGTCTGGGGAGGGTAATGTGTACGCAGACAAGCCCCTACCCCGATAGGACAGAGAGGCTGTTTCCGATAGAACCCTCGGCTCAGAAAAAGAAAAAAGAAGGAAACAATTCATTAGTAACTCCAGTAGAAACCGTAATAGTAACAGAAGCATAACAACCAAAAGATAAATGACATGCAATAACAGTAACCAGTAACTAAGGCCCGGGGCTAAGATAAACAACAAGGATAGTGTGGATTCAACATAAACTGCAAACTATCTAAGATCAACCCTAATCCAACCCCGCCTCACCCCCGGTATGAAGTAAGCAAAGCTCTACTACCCCTTAACCTACAACCCTAATGCTTGAAGGGAAAGCAGCTAGTCCATTTCCCATTTCTACATATACACACAACAAAAATGACCTTATTTCCTAATGTCCATTTCCCTTTCTTTTTTTTTTTTTTGAATAGGTAACTATTGTATATATTAAAAACATCAGTACATAGGTTGCACTGAAAAACCAGATTTACATGGAGAGGATTAGTAGATGTTCTAATTCGAGACCTAGCAAGATCCTAGTATGTCTATGATTGTCAATGTATCTTCTATGTAAATCTGTTTGCACCAAAAACGAAAAAGAAGAATACAGTTGAGTTTGATCTTCTGCACTGGATTGCTTCTATCTTCAAAACATCTATTGTTCCTTTCCCTCCAAACTGTTCACCAGATACAAGCCGGGACAGTCCTCCATCTATCTCTACTAGTTGCTTCAGCTCCAGCTTCTTCCCAGCTATAAAGGACATCTTTAAGCCTGTATGGCATTGACCATGAAATGCCCCTAAGACTAATAAAAATTTTCCATAGTTAGTCTGTGATCTTGCAATGTAGAAACAAATGTGTGACAGTTTCAGCATTTTCCCCGTACAGAAAACATCTTGAGCACAGAGAAATTCCCCTTTTTATGAGATTATCCTGGGTTAATACCGCCTCCTTTGCTAGTAGCCAAGTGAAGCAAGCTATTTTGTATGGAATCTTTGTTTTCCATATATGTTTCCAAGGCCATGGGTCCACCTGTTGATTATTATGATTCAAAATCTTATATGCATCCTTCACCCGGTAAACCCCTCTGTTGTGCCTCTTCCACCAAAGTGAATCAAAACCCTCCTGTAATCCTTTAAATGCTTCTATCTCTTTGTAAAGGTCAGCTAATCTTGTTATCTCCCAGTCATTCAACTGTCTTCTTAGAGCGATTTCCCATCCTTGATGACTCCTCATATCAGCTATTGTCTTATGCTGGTTTTGTGCTAAACCAAATATATCGGGGTATCTTTCCTTTAAGCTTCCGTTTCCCAACCAATTATTATTCCAGAATGATGTGTTCCTTCCGTTGTTCACTCTTATGGAGGAGTGATTCTTCATTATAGGCCAAAGTTCTCTCATGGATTTCCATACACTTACTCCATATGATGTTCTGACTTTTTTTGACACCCAGTTATTTTCCTCACCATACTTTGCTTTGATCACTTTGCCCCATAAAGATTGGGGTTCTTGAGAGTACTTCCATAACCATTTCATTCTAAGAGCCTTGCTATGATTCTTCAAATTCCTTATTCCTAAACCACCTTGTTTTTTATCCATTGTGAGTGTCTTCCATTTAACTAAATGGAAGACCTTTTTCTCCTTATTACCTTGCCAAAGGAATGATCTTCGGAGTTTGTCCAATCTCTGTAAAATGCCTGCTGGAATTGTGAACAAAGACATCATATAAGTAGAAAGTGAGTCTAATACTGAGTTGATTAGAACTAGCCTGCCCCCCAAAGATAGGTATTGTGATTTCCATCTTGACAGCTTCTTCTCACACTTTTCTATGACTGAATTCCAGATTTCTTTTGATTTGGATCTTGCGCCAAGAGACATCCCCAGGTAAACAGTTGGTAGGGACCCAACTTCTCCTCCCAATATCTGTGTCAGTTGCTCCATGTTGTTAACTTCATTAATGGGAAAAATATTGTTCTTTCTCCAGTTGATGTGTAAACCTGAGACTCCCTCAAATAAGACCAAAATGATTCTTAGGAATCTAAGTTGGTCCTTTTCGGCATCACAGAAGACTAGAATATCATCAGCATATTGGAAATGTGTGATCTCTAGATTGTTTGCCCCACTCCTGTTTACCTCAAAACCTTTAACCCATCCACTGACTTTAGCCGTTTTGATCATGTTGTTCAATCCTTCCATGGCTATAATGAATAGAAAGGGAGATAAAGGATCACCTTGTCTTAGACCTCTGTGTGAATGGAAAAAACCTTTAGGAGATCCATTTATGAGAATGGAGAATTTTACAGTAGATATGCAAAATTTCATCCATCTATTCCATTTCTGCCCAAAACCCATTAGTTCTAACATTCTGAGTAGGAAGCTCCAATTTACATGATCATAGGCCTTCTCAATATCTAATTTGCATAAGATTCCAGGTTCCTTCTTTTTTATTCTTGAATTCACAGCTTCGTTGGCAATCAACACAGCATCTATTATTTGTCTTCCTTTGATGAAAGTCATTTGTTAAGCATCGACAATTTTCCCTACCACCCTCTTAAGTCTTTCGGTTAAGACTTTTGAGAGCATTTTGTAGAAGCTCCCTATCAGACTGATCGGTCTGAAATCTCTCAATTCTTTCGCACCTGTCTTCTTTGGAATCAAAGCTATATATGTTGCATTGAAGCTTTTCTCAAACATCTCCTGAGAATGGAAGTTGTTGAAGGCCGTCATGATGTCTTCCTTCAAAATGTCCCAACACTTTCTGAAAAAACCCATTGTGTATCCATTCGGACCTGGGGCCTTGTCACTTGCACACATCTTCAGACAGGTCAAAACTTCTTGTTCCTCAAAGTTACTCTATAAAAACTCCCTTTCTGATTCAGAAATTCTTAAGCTATTTTTGAAATTGACCGTTGGTCTCCACTCTTCAGGTTCTTTGTATAACTCCTTGTAGAAGGAAGTTATCTCAATCTCTATTCTGTCTGGATCCTCGACTACTTCCTGTCGAATCATTAGTTGATCAATGTTGTTGTTTCTCTTGTGTGCATTTGCAGTACGATGGAACAATTTTGTATTCCTGTCCCCTTTTTTGAGCCACAGAGCTCTTGATTTTTGTCTCCATACAATTTCTTCATTCTTGAGTTGTTCCTCAATCTCCATTAGAGTAGCTGCTTTCCTCACTGATTCCTCCTCTGTCAGCGCTCTTAGTTGTTGTGTTGTCTCAAAACCTGCTAGTTGACTTAGCAATTTTGATTTTTGCAGTCCCAAATTACCTTCATAAACTCTGCTCCATTCTTTTAGCTTGCCCTTGAGAGCTTTTAACTTGCAAGCTAAAATGTAATCTGGTCTTCCTGAGAATTCAAAAGATGTCCACCAGTCTCTAATTCTGTCATCAAAACCTTCCACATTCAACCACCAATTTTCAAACTTAAAGTATGATTTAGCTTGTTCCCACGCACCACAGTATAAAGCCACAGGTGAATGGTCCGAAATCAGCCTTTGTTGGATAGTTTGCTTGATGTTTCTGAAGCTTTCAACCCATTCTTCTGAAATGAGAAATCTATTGATTCTTGAAGCGGCTGTATGATTGTCCCCTTTGAACCAAGTATAGTAGCCTACTTCAAGTCGTAGATCTATCAACTCCATATCTTCTATAAAATCCGAGAATTCCCCCATCGCTTTGGACCTCCTTGAACATTCCCGTTTTTCAGAAGGGTACCTTGTAACGTTAAAATCGCCACAAACCGCCCAAGGACCTTCCATCAATCCCCTCACTGCACCAATTTCTCTCCATACTATTTTCCTTTCTATTCTACAATTTGGAGCATACACTCCTGTTATGTGACATTGAAAATTCTGTAAAAGAGCCTCGAACTTGCAAGTCAAAGTGTATGCACCAGTCTGTAACACCTCCCCTTTCCATACTCTGCAATCCCATAATAACAAAATCCCCCCTCTCGTGCCGCTAGCTTCTAAACTTGCATACCTCACCCATCTACCACCCCATATTTGACTGACTATTTCCTTAATATCCCCCTCCACTTTTGTCTCTTGCATGCATATGATGTCTGTCCTCCAGTTCTGCACTTGACTTTTTATGATCTCTCTTTTCTTCTTGTCGTTTAATCCTCTTACATTCTAGGAAATTACTTTGATCTTCATATTGAAATGATTGATAAGTCTCTTCCCCTACTCCTTTTCCCGTCACTCTTGAATTTGACATCAAACGAAGTTAAACCTTTTAATTCCAGTGATCCTTTGAATCTTTGTTTCTTCACCTCCAACTCTGTCTCCACCCTTCTAACCTGTCTACAACTGTCAA